CCCTGTAACCAGATAAAGCAGAGGAAACAGGGTCTTCTAAGAAGGCCAACGTGGTTGATGGGCAGGGAGCAGAGAGGGGTCACATCCATTGAGGCTGTGGATGATGCGAGTAGAGTTTACACTATGCAAAACATTGTAGGTCATGTGAAGTTTTCTTTTTATCCTAAGAGCAACAGAAAGCCATGAAAGTTTTTTGGTTTGTTTTGTTTTTTTTTTTTGGCCATGCCACCCAGCTTGCAGGATCTTAGTTTCCCCACTGGGGATCAAACTCAAGTCATCGCAGGAGCCCCATTGGGCCACCAAGGAATCCCATGAAAGACTTTTAAACAGCTGGTTGACAGCGGAGGTAAGAAGGAAAGGGCCATGATTACATTTGCATTTTGAAAAGCTCACACACTACAGTGTGAAGAAGTGCCTTTTGTGGAAGGTGGGACAAAAGGAGAGCAAGGAGTGACTGGATGCATAAGTGAATATAGACCAATAAGGTGATCACTGGAACAGTCCATTGAAGAGGCAATGGTAGCCTGGTCCAAGGTGATGAAGATGGAAAAAAGAGATTACCAATATTTTTAGACAAATTGATAGGACTTGATTTGGGGAATGAGAGAAACACTCAATTCTTCTGAGCCTCAAGTCTTCATATGTAAATCAGGACTCTTGATATTCCACCTGTATAAAATCTATCTTGCAGTCTGCTGTGATAAGAATATGAAATAATATAAATATTATGGAACCGCAGAGTCTGATGCGTAATAAATGCTAAAAAAAGAAAATTCCATCACAATTATTATTGTCATCCCTTGGAACAACTGCTACAGCGTGAAGCCCCCAAAGTAGAAAACGGTATTGTAGTTAAAACTCTACATCCGCTGTGCGGAAGACACAGGACAACTGTTTCAAATACACACATCTGATCGCACAAATTATTTCACCTCACCCGATCTCAATCCACAGAAATCATTACGGAAGAGGGAAGCACAACTGATATGATCACAAGCACCTAAGAGTCCGGTAAACTGAGGCACAAGGGTAGCTACAAACTTATCCAAGGAATGAAGTGCAGAAGCAGGACAAGGAAATGGGTGTCTTAATTCTCATGTGAGTCGATCCACTAGGACTAGGCCTGCATCCCGAGCAGCACGTACTCAAAGCCCCCAAAGTCTCTGGCTCCCTTGCTGACAAGGCCTTGTAACCCCTTCGCTTAAGACCGTGGGTCCGCTTGCCATCCAACCAAGTCCTTCCGGTTCCCAGACCCCAGCTACAAGTGCACGAAAGATGCCAGACTCGGGTGAGCCCGAAATACCTTAGCTTCGCGCTCTCGTTCCTCGGCCGTCGGGGTCCGCTTCATGCTGCCGATATAGCCGCCTTCGCCACTGCTAACCGCGTAGATTCCTAGCCCTGGACCCCGCCTCCTCCATGTAGTTTTCTTGGCATCCTGCTCCCGCCTGGCGCCATTCTCGCTCGGAAAGGAGAGAACTACCACTCCCAGGACGCACCGCGGTAAGGCCGGAATGCGCCTCGGGGTTGGAAGCTAGAGAATTTCCCAGGTCCGACAGCTGGGCAAGCGTAGTCCGCTGCTCAGCGAGCGGGCCGGCGATGGCCCGAAAAGAACTACAATCCCCAGAAGGCAACGGTGCCTGCCATGTTTTTCCCGTGCTCCTCTGGGCCGGCCGCCTCACATGCCGTCGGCGCTATAGCAACGGTAGCTAGCGGCTGGGAGAGAGTGACGGTGAGTACACCTGGGGAGTAGAGGGGTGCAGGTAGCCGACCCTCTACCTCTAGCACGGGCCGGGGTCCTGGGGTCTGCTCTACCTCCTGGAGAAGGCCTTGGCGTTCTGCTCACGTGAAGAGCAGTCCAGCACGAGACACCTCACCTACTCAGGCCTGAATCACAGCCCGCCCCTTATCCCGACTCCCAGCATCTGTTTGAAATTTTCCATCCCAGCCCTGAACCTTAGTTGCTGAGGGGTGAGGCTGAGTACAGTGCTTATCCAGTACAGTGCTTAACTACCTGCAAGAAGTTCGCCCATTGCCTCAGTAGATATGAATTTGAGCAAACTCGAGAAAATAGTAGACAGACTAGCGTGGAGAGCTGCAGTCCATGGGGTCGCGAAGAGTCTGACACGACTTAGCGACTGAACAACAACAAGGAGTTGATTGGGAAACTCCTAAGCCTCCCAAGTTACTTATTTGCTTAATTATTTACAATTATTTGTTTATCGTGAGTACCCCATAGCCTATGAACTCCGTCGGTGGAGACTTTATTTACTCTTTAGTCTCAGTACCAAGTATTCATTTATTCATTCCATAAACATGAATACTGGCGTCCACCCTGTGTCCTGAGGCACTGTTCTCTACCAGCTAGGAACAGGACCGATGCGGGTCTCGAGATGCTTCTACTTTATTAGTGTGGAGGAAGTAGTAATGAAGATAGTGCAAGTAAGTGCAAGTGTCCGTCGCTCTGTCGTGTCCGCCTCTTTGTGACCCCATGAACTGTAACCCGCCTGGCTCCTCCATCCATGGAATTTTCCAGGCAAGAATACTGGAGTGGGTTGCCATTTCTTTCTCCAGGGGATCTTCGCGACCAGGGATCAAACCCAGGTCTCCCGCATTTCCGGCAGACTCTACCATCTGACCCACCAGGGAAGACCAATGAAGATAGTAAATAGCAGTAAATATGATCATCTCGGGCTTCCCAGGTGGCGCTAGTGGTAAAGAACCCACCTCTCAATGCAAGTAGGCATAAGAGATGCGGGTTCGATCCCTGGGTCCAGAAGATCTCCTGGAGGAGGGTACAGCAACCCACTCCAGTATTCTTGCCAGGAGAATCCCATGGACAGAGGAGCCTGACAGGCTGCAGTCCATAGGGTCGGACAGAGTTGTATGGGACTGAAACGACTTCTTTTGCACACGTGATAATCTCAAATGCAGATGATGGCTGTAAAAGAAAGAAACAGTGCTGAAGTTGGGAGGAAGAGTACAGTATCATAGGATGCTAAGGGAAAGCTTCTCAGGAAAAAAATGATGTTTGAGCTGAGCCCCAAAGAATGAGGAGCCAGCTAGTGCAAAGACCTTGAGCAAGGCAAGGGTACCATGGGTTTGAAGAATCTAGAGAACAGTGAGTGGCACATAGTGAACCAGGAATGATTGTATGAAACAGTTGGGGAGGCATTGCAACATCATGCATTATTTCTCAACCTTGGCGTTATTGACATTTGGGGCCAGATAATTCTTTTTTGTGGTTCCTGTACACTATAGTAGGATCCAGTGCCTAATGATCTGAGGTGGATCTGATGCAATAATAATAGAAATATAAAGTGCAAAGTAAGTGTAACACATTTGCATCATCCTGAAACTATCCTTCCCACCCTGGTCTGTGGAAAAATTGTTTTCCATGAAACCAGTCCCTGGTGCCAAAAAAGGTTGGGGACCTCTGTGATATTTACCATCAATTCTGACCTCTAGATGCTAGTAACACCACCTGCCTGCTTCCCAGTTGTGACCATCAAAAATAGGGCCAAACAGATACTTCATAGATGTGTGACCTTGGGCAAGTTCCCTAAGCTGTGTCTTGGTTTCTTCATTTGTAAAGTAGGACACATTTGAGTAACAACCTCAAGAGTGCCTGGCACATCTTACTAAGCATTCAATTAATGTTAATACCATCACCTTCATTATTGTTATTATTATAAAAGCCACCATAATTCTACTGTGGAAAAGTTATCATTTTCATAGTTGTCCTGTGTTTAAACTTCTTGATAATTTGGTTCCTAAATTGTCCTCTCCTGTAGGAGTGTTTCCAAAAGAAGTAGATGATCTCCCAGGCATATGTCTTTAGTTGTTTAAGTCACAGTAAAAACTCAATGGTCTGCAACGTTGATACGTTATAATAAAAGTTATTAACCCTGTCTCTAAAAGATAATGTGTATACACATAATGCATACAAGATTTTGGAAACCACCTCTGACCCCAGACCCTGAAGCCCCAAGGACTCCATTCATTCATTTGACAACTATTTAATGAATGCCAGCTATGTGCCCAGCTCTGTCCCAGCCTTTGAGAATACAGAGGTGAATGAGACAAATCGCTCTATTCCCTCAGACTGTATTCTAGGACCAATGTGCTAAAGATTGGGAAGCTCTGCCTTAGGCCATCTTCACTGGTTCTTTGCTTTACTAAACATTGTGTGAATGACTCACATCCACATATAAAACTAAGTTACTATGATGCATCTCTGTAAAGAACAGAAACTGTAAAAATGCCAGAATTAGCTGGACGGCATGTACGTGGATGTAGGAAGCCCTGGGACCTAGGCTTCATGGCAACAAAAGACACAACAAAAACAAGTCCAGCTGGTGAATTTATGAAACCTCTTTCTAAGGAAACTACCAACTCCTTTGTGCATCAAGCTGAAGATTAGTATTCAAGTGATATTAACATCCCAGGCAAATGTGTTAAATGCCTTTAATTTACCATCTCATGTACCTTTAAAATAACTCTGTGAGAATAAGTGTTGTTTTCTCCTCTTTTAAGATTAAATTGCTTTCTCCACATGATTAGTGACTTGACCAGCCAGTAAGTGATAGAACAACCATTTGAATCAAGTTCCTGACTGAAGTGTTTTGATACCTGCTTTCTTTTGGGGAGCAGAGAAAGGGATGGAGGATGGAGAGGAGGTCTTTCTTAAATTTGGGGAAGGTTTTATTTTTTTTTTTCCAAACAGAGGAAGAAGAAGAAGAGAGAAGGAAGAATGATAATCTTACCTCATTTCCTCAGCAAACTATAGGAAATATACTGTTGAAAGGCACACTGGCTCCATGATTGAATGTAGTATTACTTTTAAAATAGAAGCTTTCATCTTCTTCAAGCAGCACGTGGGCAATAAGATGTCCATTAAAGTTCTAGTGCCTTATTCATTTTATTTGGTTCATTCCATTGCATAGTTAATGTTACAACTTGGAAAGATTTTATTTGAATTTTCTCTTCTCCACAGATAGGCAATGTCTGGTCCAACTGATGAGACTGCAGGAGACCTGCCTGTGAAAGATATAGGTCTAAATCTCTTTGGCATGGAAGGGTTGCAAGGTATGGCCAGCTGTTATATATTACAGTTATGAACTTTGATCAGTAACTTCTTTACTTTTAAAGTATTTCTGATATTCATACAAACAAAACCATTTAAGGAACTATATAGCTCTTGATTGGACTAAACAAGAAGATGGAGAATTTAGAACAACATATGGTATTTTACTGCATGCATCAATTATCAACAGCTCATAGAAAATGTAAAATCCCCCTCTGTTCTGATAAAGAATTGTTATAAATCATCTTCTTAAAATTCCACACATCAGTAGAAACTACACAGAGAGTACCAAGCCTCCAAACTGAATTGCCTGGTTTAAATCACATTCACCATTAAAATGTTTCTTTATGCTTAAGTTTTATATGGGAGGAAATGCCATATTTAAAAAATTTTGCCTTTCAAGTAGAGTATCTCAAAATGGTTTGTTTATCCAAGCGATATTGACTTTGTTTTATCAAATTAATACACATTAAAGGTTTTCTTTGTCCTTTTATCACTTAGTGGTTGCTATGGAGCTAAAAAGCACTTTCAAATTGAAAAAGAAAAGTACTGCTTTAAGGAACAATTTAGAGGGTAGAGCTGTGTTTGTGTTTGCGTGTACAGTATGTCAGCCATGCTGCTATGCCACAGCATTTGTCACTGAGCAGCCTAGGATGCAAAATAGATTCCACTAAGTCTTCTTTACAAGCTTGTTAAAGTGTCACAGGTGGCCAGCTTGAAGTACTAAAGAAAGGTGGTCAAAATATTACCCATTGAAAAAAATAAATTTGTACAGCTTTTATTGTTAAAGTAAAAAGACTGTATCAGCTTTGCTTTAGATCTTTAGTGGAATATCGGGGATTCAAATACAAAGAAATTTTAAGCGTGCAAGGCTATTTTTTAGTATTTGATACCCTAAGTTCAATTCTTGCCCTCAGTAACCTCCTCATAGGGCTTTAATCTTTGTCCATTTGTTCTTTGTTTCTTGTGGAGGACTGTTGAAAATTGACCAGCTTCACAGGAAAATATCAAATTTAAGCATATGTAAAAGAAATATCATACACACCTGCTAAAAGGTATAAAAGTCCTTTAAAAATCTGTGATAACTTATAAATGATTTGTGAAGGTTTTTGTTTGTTTGGTTTTGCAGATTTTATGGTTTATTTTCTATAACCCAACACCCATAGCTCAGAAAAATATCTTAATCATATTGTCTTTGTTATAACTCTTACCTTCCCAAAAAAAGAAATACTTCCAGATACCCTTTAGTTTAGTTTTTTCAACATTCAGCATACAAATTGAAAAGTCTTTATTGAATCAGAGTTCCAACTTATATTCTTAAAGACAGTTATTTGAATACATTTTTGAATGGAAACTATTGTTACTCAAATCCTTAATATTGCATATAAAGTATTAATAGCCAAGATTTTTGTTCTTAGGTCCAATCAGTGACATGAACAATGCGATAACATTTTCTAAAGCATCAGAGATTATGTTACTATCAACAGTTATTGTTTTTAGAGGCTCTTTTAAGTAATCCTACTATTAATTACCTTGGCATTTTTGCAGAAACTTCAACGACACGGACAATGAAGTCTCGCCAAGCAGTGTCACGTATCAGTCGTGAGGAACTGGAAGACAGATTCTTGCGTTTGCATGATGAGAACATTTTACTTAAACAGCATGCCCGCAAGCAAGAGGATAAAATTAAAAGGTTATGATAAAAAGCTTTTAGCTTTTCTTTTTTCCTGACTCTGTGAAGTTTGGAGGATATGCTTTTCTATAAACTAAATTGAAAGCCCCACCTTGAATCTTTTTTGGAGCAAGCCAGGTTGTAAATAAATACAATTTTAAAACTGGAAAATCTTACAAACTAGTATAATAAACCAAAAAGATTATGAGTTTTTATTATGTCTGAAATTGCCATTTGAAAGAAAGAGCTAATAGCTATGAGTGCCATGAAAGTATCATATCTCTAAGTAACTTTTGTTTTAATATTTATAGCTTAATAAGCAAATGGCCAAAACATCTGTTCTCTAAACATCCTGATTTGAAATGAAAGTTTATAAAAGTAATTAGCTATTCTAACTTGTTAGAATGCATGTTCCTTTAAGATTTGGGGTTTACTAAGGAAAAACATCACTATCTGGAACATATTTTACTTTGCTTGGTTTAATCTAGAATCTATATTTATTTCAAAGAGTCTACTGTTTCTGAAGAAACTGTCAACTTGTGTATGCACAATTTCTGCAGGGATTATTTCTTAAGAATAGATATCTTTCATTCTTGCTTGTTCAGGAACACTTGCTGTTTTCTGAATGTGTGACTTAAAGTTCATTCTCATGTGTGAGCATGGACAGATCTGTATTCATGTTCTAGATCCAATGGAAAGGTGAGACAGTGATCAAAGAAGGAAGATAGACTTTATTTTTTTCTGCTTGGAACTTAGCCTCTAGAGAAACTTAGCCTCTGAACTGACTTCTAGTCAGTTTCTACTCTGTGGACTTTGTTTTAATGACCCACTGACCTGCTTTGTGCAGAGCTTTTACTTTGAGTTTGTTTTTGAGTCATGATGATGGCTTTTTGCAAGACATGTGACTCACTTGCCTGATTGTTTTCTTGAACAGTAACATAGCCATCACCCCATCTAAATGAGGCATTTAGTCTGTGACTGCTTAACGGTTTTTTTCTTTGTAAACCTAATTGGTCAGTAAAAGAATTAAATTCACAACCTTGACCTTGTTAGTAACTTGTCCTAGCTAGAAAGTAGAAAACAACTTAATAATGAGCTACGTAGTTTAATGGAAAAAGCACTGTGCTAGGAGTCAAGTTGTGTGCATCTGTTCTTTTATCTCTCTGCCACTCGCCTGTGGCATGTTCAAGCCACTGAACCCCCAGGGATTTTATTTTACTCAGCTCTGAGAATATTGATCCAATGACCATTATAACCCAAAGTTCTAATTTCCTTCTCGATTTCACACCACTGACACTAGGTAGATACATGTATAGAACTTTATCCTTAAGATATAATTAGATTCACTTACTTTAGAATAAATGTAGATTTGAAAAACTGTCTTTCTAAAGAAGTACTCAAACTTTACCTGATCACTTATTTCATTAATAGAAAATAATCAAATGAATATTGTTGCTATCACCGGACAAAGAGAGGCAATCTTTTCTTTCTTGGCAAAGCTTCCTTCAATATCTTTGGAGGAATTGTAAGCCTCTCTATGGGTGCATGCCTCTTGCCTTAAAAACTGGAGTTGTTTACTTTTCTCTAGATGTTGACTGCTTTTTCACATTAAATCTTATTTCTTTCTTTTGAACGTAATCTCTATCTCTGTGTGACAGTCTTTGTGTAACAGAAGATTCAGGTATTTAGGTTGACGTGTCATTTAAGTGGCCACCATCTCTCTATGGCAGCTGCATTTGGTGGGGCTAATGGTCCGAGAGGGCTGGCTAGCACGCTTGGCTCTGTTGGGTTGCAATACCTGCCCAAACTTCCCAATGATATATCCTTCTCAGGATTAGGTGGAAAAGGAACTAATCCATTGATTATTTTACTAGGGTGTTTGTGGTACTCTTGGATCTTGGTTTTTATTATCCTATATCCCTTATAAAGCATGTTTAATGGATGTGCCTCAAGGGAAAGAGAAAACAATCTTAACTGATTATGTTATGCATAGCTCTCCCCCATGCCACATGCTGTAGGCCGAGTAGCCAGAAGTGTAGATAGACGTGTATTACTACCGCTTTACAGAGCACTCCGCTCAGGGCAACAGAAGGTTGTACTGTGACATCCCAAAGCTATTAAGGGGTTTTTTTTTTATTTCACTTTTGTTCTCTTAAGTAAAAGCTTCTGTCCATAACCAGGCTAAAATAAAGCAAAACTCCGTTTAAAGAAAAATGAAGTGTGTTTTTATTTTCAATCTCCTGTCTGGGTCTTTATAAAAATAGATTCACTATAAACTAGAATCAGCTATTGAAGATGTGCGACCAATTTTGTAAAGTCTTGAACTTGTGTCTCTCATCAAAGCCACCTTTTCTTTCTTGTACTGCCAAGATTTTTCCATTCACTGTCAAGCATGTTTTCTGTACGTGTATATTACATCACCCCCATGTGCCCTTTCTGTCTTTTGTTCTGTCTAACCAGTTTTTATCAAAACTTAAAAGAATCAAAGGTATAAACTCCTGAGATGTCAAAAGCACAGTGTATGTCTAAATTTAAAAGCAACATTGAAATAATATTTTTTTTGTGTCTAATTATTTTCTACCATTAAACAGACATGTTGGTGGAGCACTGAGCAACATTTAATGGTGCATTTGGGTTTCTTTTTAATTTTTATTGGACTTTTAATATGTATCTATGCATTCTAACATTTTTATATTTGTAATATGTCTTAATCCCAGAGAAACTAAAAACAGTATATCATCTAAATGTTGCATAGTCTTAATACACTTTTGAAAAGTTTTAACTCACTGTGGCTTGCAGATATAACCCACCACATCCACAATCTGTAGCTACATTTAAGTGCATACAGCATTCCTACATAAGGTCATGCGTTAAAACTTGCATTTGAGGAACATATGGAGTAAATATGTGTCCTCTCTTTACTAACCTTAAATGATAAGCCTTAGGAAACTGTTATTTGTCAGTGCTATAAAGCAGATTGTTGCCCAGTGGTTTCAATTATCATCAAAGGATTCTTCACAGGCAGTAATAGTTACATCAAAACCTGAAATTTATTATTCAGGTTCTGCACTGAAGTCTTCACAGTGATTATGTTCCTTTCAACAGAATGCATTTTATGCTGACTTCTCACATTCCTTTTCATCTTTTTATTATTTCCCTAGAATGGCCACCAAGTTAATACGGCTAGTTAATGACAAGAAAAGATATGAACAGGTTGGTGGCGGCCCCAAGCGGTTGGGAAGAGATGTGGAAATGGAAGAAATGATTGAGCAGCTGCAAGAGAAAGTTCATGAGCTTGAAAGACAAAATGAAGTCCTCAAAAGCAGACTAATTTCAACCAAGCAGCAACTTCAGATCCAGGGTCACAGGCACACTCCATACAGTTATGTGCAGTCTCGTGTTAACACCGGGCGTAGAAGAATGAATGAAAATTCAGGCTTACAGGAATGCCCCAGGAAAGGTAAACTAAAGCTTACATTAAATCCTAAATTTAAATTAATAGGTTGTTTTACACTCACATACATACATACATACATACACACACACACACACAGAGTTTTATTTCTACGTTATTCATGTTTTTAAGCATCTTTCAAAATAGAAAAAATCATTCTTCTGATTTTTTGATAAAATCACATTAACATGAAGGTCATTTTATATAAGAATCACTAGATCATGCTCAAATTTGTCTAGTAAAACATTGAACATAAGTATTCTTCCTAACAGGGAAAAGAAGCTTATACAAAATTACATAAAATACAGGTTTAGCTGAGTTTTAGTTGGTTTTTATAGTCAGTGATGAAAATCGCATTGACTCAGGCAAATGGAGAAACCACTAGTTTGCTTATATGGTCACACTGTTGTTCTGAATGATCACACTTAAGTTCTTTATCCAAAGGCTTTCCATAAATTTTACAGAATTATTTAAATTTTTCTCATCATGGGAGGCAGCTTGACCGTGGAATGTGCACATAACTAGGGGTTTAAAAAGTTGTGTCCTTGGTGACCTTAGACAAGTCTTCTAGTGATTCTGAACTTGAGTTTTCTTTGCATGTAAAATAAAAGGATGTAAACAAGTGACCGTAAAAGTCTCTTCCAACTCCAAAAAATCATCATTGGCCAATCACTCTCCTTATGTTGAAAATAAATCACCTAAAACCTACCCAGCTTACAATGCAATTCAGTTGCATATAGAAGACTCAGTACTATACACAGAACCTACATATTTCTAATAAAAATTGCTCTCTCCACCCACAAACTTTATTTTTAATGAAGCAAAAAGTCAATAACTATTTTAATTTTTTTTCATTACAACTACCAGGGAAGGAAATAGAATTTTAGTTCTAATTCATCTTTGTTTGGAATGTGCTTCACATAAAGACCAAACATTTTTAGGGAAATAAAAAATCATGTAAAACTTTCATTTCAATTCATTGAGGGAATAAAAAACACCATCTGAACAGAAAAAGAGAAAAATTTGTCCTATTTTTTTTCTGCAAGCCAAAATGTTAACACTATCTGTTCCCTAGACAGGGTTCCTTTGAAGTCAATAAGGCCTCCTTGCAGGCAGGAGGCAGCTGCAGGATGAAAGGGCTTGGCTACTCTGAGCTATGTGAGACTGGCAACAGGCTTTGAATATAATCAAAGTAATCATAATGAATTATAAATCAAAAATACGTTCGTCTGCTAATTAGCTGTTTACATCAAGAGAGCACTTGACTTCCCAGAGCCTCATTTTCCCCATCTGTAAAATGGAGTGATAGCACCAGATTAGAAGAAAGGTCAGGAGATTGTAGGTCTCCCATGATTTTTTTACCTTTAAATAGTCATTTATCCTCTCTGAACCTTAGTTTTGTCACCTGTGACTTGGGAAAGATGATCCCTGTGGTCTATTTGTACTAAATAAAGACAATGCCCAAATATTAGGTTAGCATGACAAGGTATTAGTGCTATGAATTGCTGTCTAAATTGTTTGATAGAAGTGTCTCCTTAGAGAAGAGCCACAGAACAGAAGAGGCTTGAAAATGTTACTCATATAGACTAAAATTTTCTTTGTATTCACTTACTTTATTTACCAAAAGCTAATCATTTAATTATTGTATAAGTGTGAAGTAACTTTTATAATTAAAAGAATGTCTCTTTTTTTTAACAATGGGATTAGGTTTATAAAAATTACATATAATTATTTTTATAAGCAAAATTGTATTTAAGTGCAGCAACAAAATGTTTTATTTGGAATCTTATTAATGATCTCAACTTACGTTTGTTGAAATATGGATTTTCTTATTAAGATAAATCAAAATAGGGGAAACATTTTTACTTATGTTCACAGTATATATGAGTCACACAAATAAGGGTAAGGTTCAGAACGTAAAGTCAAATGGTGTGAATGAGTAATTTAGAAATCAAAAAATCTTTATCAAAAATACTAAAAAAAAAAAAAATCATGGTTTTGAAAACTTTTTCCTTCATACCTCAGGTTATATTGTAAAGACCTAAATTTAAAACTTTAGTTCTTTCAGAATTTACTTCAGAAGTTCTAGATCTCAGTTGAATAAAAGTATTTCTGGGTAATTTGGTTTACATAGTAGAATTTGTTAAATGAGCAGTACTTGGTGCTGTGCTTTATTAAATGCCAGATGGTGGCTGAGATCTAACAGTTCCTTTGGCAATGTATGTCTAATTCTCTGTACTGTAGAGCCTGCATCTCTCAGTACGGAAGAGACTTGCTTATATTACAGATTTCCTTACGATAGCAAATCAGGGGTCCTTCTTTTCTAACTTCACTTGTATGATCCTATTAATTTATTTTTAGGTATTAAATTCCAAGATACAGATGTAGCAGAAACTGTGCAACCCATGCCTACAAAATATGGCAACAGTTTACTCAAAGAAGCCAGAGGAGAAATAAGAAATTTGTATGTATGCTTTATGTGATCATTTTAGACCACTGTATATTGATCATGTCTCTTTTGATCCCTCCCTCTCCTTTTTTTTAAACAAAATTGGTTTATATACAAAAAATTTCCTCCAGCTAGATATGTGAGTCAAGAACAGGTATTTCATAGCATGCTTGCAGTACAATGAAGAAAATGAATATCTTAACCAGCTGCATCAATGGAAGCATATATAGAGAGAATAGTTCTCTTTATTATAATTTCCCCCTCAAAGGAATGGCATAAAGGCCAGTCATTTAGAATAGTATAAGCTTTAGAGGCAACATTTTCATTCTCAGAAGAATTACAGGTAGTTTTTTTTTTTCTTTTTTTTTTTTTAGATCATGAATTAATTAGCCTTTCTGTGGTTTAAAAAAAGAATTGGAGGGAGTGGCTTAAAAGTTTGAAGCTATCAAATACATATGGATTTCAGATTTTGTTTCACTGTGATTCTACGGTACTTCATTCTTCATCATACTATGGTTTCAAAAAAGTTACTTCTGCCACATTTAGCTTACTTTTCTGTTAATGAAAGCCTCATGGTAATCTCAGTGTCTGTAAGTCACACAAATAAAGATAAGAATCTACCTTATCTACAGTACAGGTCTTCACCTGGATCATCAAAAAGTCACAATTCTAAATGAGGAGAGAAAATATGAGACAAAGAATATCATATTTTAGATAGTTGCTTAAGAATAATATGGGCTTAATTTTTTTTCTTTTGAATATTTTAAATACCAATTACAGTAATGATTGCCTGTGAGGGAATAAAACTAAAAGGCTAGCTAACTTTGTTACTTGTTAGCAGGGTTCAAACCAGTGCTGAGGCTCAGTACACTGGTAGAGAGAAAATATAAACCAAAGACCACTAAATTATGTTTTGCAAATTTCTTGCCTTCTCTCTATGAAGCATTAATTTGGGTGGTATAGGCAAGTGTGCATATAAAAGAACAAAGGTGCATAAATTATCTGAAGATGACCAGATCACAGAGTGTATAGTAAGTAACCAATAAATACTATGTTGAATTGAACTGCAGTTTAACCCATTGCCTAAGACATTATCTAATATAAAGCAGCACCTTGAATTCTTTCATTTTGTTGTTATTGTTTAGTCGCTAAGTCATGTCAGACTCTGTTACTCGCTGAACTGTAGCCCACCAGCTTCCTCTGCCCTTGGGATTTCCCAGGCAAGAATACTGGAGTGGGTTGCCATTTTCTACTCCAGGGGATCTTTCCGAACCAGGGATCGAACCCTCATCTCCTGCATTGGCAGACAGATTCTTTACTGCTGAGCCACCAGGGAAGCCCTTGAATTCTTCCATAGGTACTCCCAAATCATCAGATTTAATCTGCTACTATTTCACTATGTTCAGAAGCCGTTAAACTAAAATTTTTAACTTTTGCTTACCCTTTACTATGAAGCACTTTCTTTGTACTGATCTTAAATCCTGCAGATTTTGCCTCAAACTACAAATTCTTGTAAAGCTTCTTTATTTCAGAGAAAATGTTATTGAGTCACAGAGAGGCCAGATAGAAGAGTTAGAGCACTTGGCGGAGATCCTGAAAACTCAGTTGAGGAGAAAAGAAAATGAAATTGAGTTATCTCTTCTTCAGCTTCGAGAACAGCAGGCTACAGATCAAAGGTATGTTAAAATAGCAATAGCATTTTGATAAGGTCAAAATTAGTTTAAAATATTTTATCATGTGCCATAGAAGGATAAGTCTAGTCTATTTAAAAAATCATGTTGTTACTTAGCATTCTTCATATAAGCCCACTCCAGACCTACTGTTATCAACAGCTCAAGTCTAATGGCATTTTTCCCTAACCTACTCTGCCTCACCTTGTTTCGTTTGCTCATTTACCAAACCCATAGGAAGCTCCGAGACCATTCGATTGTACCTACCAAGAAAAATATGTGTGACAAGGACTCAGCTGTTAGCATACCTTGTGAATAAGCCCAACCTTGCTCAAGCTTCTTTCCCACCCGTGAAAGGTAGTAAATTCTGTAGTGCAGTACCCGTTTTCTCCATCCCATAAAGATGTTACGTCTCCTTACATTCAGAGTTTGCACTGAATTATGCTGATCATTATGGTGACATCGGGGCCCTTCAGTAGTCTCCTTGCTGCCCCTGCATTTTTTTTTAACAACTTTTTATTTATGGCCGCACTGGGTGTTTGTTGCTGTGGTGTGTGGGCTTCTCACTGCAGTGGCTTCTCTTGTTGCCACTGGCTCTGGGATGTGTAGGCACATCCTAGGATGTGAGGAGCGCAGGCTCTGGGGCGTGTAGGCTTCAGTTGTTCAGCAAACGGACTTAGTTGCCCATGGAATCTTCCCAGGCCAGGGATCAAACCCGTGTCCCCTGCACTTGCGGGTGGATTCTTAACCAGTGGACCACCAGGGAAGTCCTGCCTCTTCATTTTTGATGTTGGATGTTATGTAGTGTTTGTTTCCCATCCTCTTTTGTCATTTGTTGGTTTCTAATACCTCTTCTCTCATTTTTGTGCCTCCCTGCTGTTCTTCCAATAAGACTTTACCTTTTTACTGTATTCTTTCTTGAATTATTTTCTTCCTTTTGGCCGTTTTCTTTTTTGTTTGGAACAAGCACATCCAAAGGCAGAAAGAGTAATATATTGAAATCTCATGTGCTCATCATTCAGCTTCAACAGTTATCAACATGTTAACCTGTCTTGCTTCATCTTTCCTCCACCTTCACGTTCTTTAATTAATTAGCCCGTATCAAATATCCTGTCCTTACGCCTGTATACGTTAGTATATTTGGTCTGTCTGATAAGGAATTTTAAACGTAATCACCATGCCATTATCACACCTAACAAAATTAACAGCAATTCCTTGACACCATCTAATAACTATTTTATATTCCAGCCTCTCTGAAGGTGACTTCTTGCTCTTTGTTTGAGTTATAATCCAAATGAGGTCTACACATTGCATATGAGTATTAGATCTTTTTTGTTTTTTCTATTTCTCTCTTTATTTTTTTTTAAACCAGTCCTAGACTCTCTGTTTGGTTTTCCCCTTACCAAGTGATATCATGCTTATGTGACTAGGTTCTTGAAAAACCAAGCATGATTTTCCACTTTTTCATTTCAGAATCAGAGTTTAATTCTGTTTTCACAAACTAACCTCACATGGTAATATTTGAAAAAGCTAAGATACATAATAGATTTGTTTTTAAAAAAAATAAAGCGAACCTTTTATTTCAGAGATTTAAAAGATTAATATTATCTCTACTAATTTCTATTCCTAAAAAGTTATGTGTAAAATTATGTAATGAAATTCTATATGTTGACATTTCTATACCCTCCTAAGTGCAGAGCAAAAGAAAAATGAATATTTTTGAGAATTATATTTGTATTAGGGAATGTAATTGGGACTCTGGCCTTGAACCAGGGTTTTAAATACCTGGGAATTACCCATGTTCCCCCTAAGAATAAATTTAGCCTTCTTGGAAAACCAAGAAATAGTTCCTTGTGAAGAACAGTGCTAAAGACCCCCAACACTGAATATGGTGATTTTAATGAATTGCCAACAGCTATATTTAAATATTATCTGAATATAAAAACTGCATTAGTCCAAGCCCAAGCTTGGAGCCATTCCTCAACAGCTGAACACAAGGTTCTCAAACTACTTTCTCAGTTGCATGCCTGCTCAGTCGCTAAGTCATGTTTGCGACCCCATGGACTATAGCCTGCCAGGCTCCTCTATCCATGGAGTTCTCCAGGCAAGAATATTGGAGTGGATAGCCATTTCCTCCTCCAGGGGATCTTCCCAAACGAGGGATTGAACCCATGTCTCCTGCATTGCAGGCAGGTTCTTTACCTCTGAGTCACCAGGAAATCCCAATGTCTTGTATTTCTTAAATTCCCAAAAGGTAAGATTGACCCTGTGTTGGCCGTTCCTCTTTCCAAAGGGATATGATCGTCTGAGAACTAGTGTTTAGTGTTAATTGAAAGGGAAATCCAAGAGTTCTTCAGTCCTAGGACTAGATAACAGCAGAACTAGAGTAACAGACAGGTCTGCATATTTTCCAGTATACGCATTGTTAGCAGGAGACATCAGCATATACACAGAGAAAAGTTTTCCTTACAAAGTAAACTAAGGCTTTCTTTGGGGGATTGTATTATTCACCCCGATTTTTTGTCACTTAATGTGAAGGATAGAGAAAGTATTACAGTTAGAGAAACTTTTGTTGCAGAGACCAAAGAAAGCAAGCAACTTACACCCTACCTCACAGATTTTATAAATTGAAAATTACTGGTTATTTGCTTAGAAGGAAGGGTACCTATGAATAACATATTGCTTCTTGAGATACAGTTGTTGAAAACTGAAGAAATGACTTCAAATAAGGGCCTTCAAGTCTTTTTTTTTTCTTATATGTTTACACATAGCTCAGAATTTTATGTGTAACAGCAATTTTTTTGAGACTAATGGAAAACTGTTGAAAAATGTTGGGGAGAATATAAGACTTGGTATAATTTACTGTAGAGAAAAATCACAAAATGGAAAACATATTTAAACTTCTCTTTCACGGGTACATTATTTCAGATTTGAAATTCTAGAAGTCTGATCTGAATGTTGGACTCCTTGTTCTCAAACATGAACCTAAAGTAGTTGTAATCTTCAGAGTGTGGTTCCTGATATTTATGGCAAAGAGCCTTTTCATAGAATATTACAGAAACTCTTCGTAGTATGTGTTTAATAGACCAGTTTGGTTTGGCATCAGCTTGACATAAACTTTTGGTTATCCAAAGCCCTTAATTGCTTTGAAGTAAAAGCCCAGTACTGCTCTTTTTTATTAAAATCATGTTTTTTCCTGTTATTGTGGTCTATTTTGGAAGACTGAGTTGTGATTTTTGCATATGTTCTACATAATGCCTCATTAGCAAAAAATCTTGTATCATTTACAAGTAGCCTGAATGTCTGTGTTGTTTTGAACAAAAATCCATATTAAAATTTAAACAATATAAAAATGCACATTTTCTGCTTATTAAAAAGGCCGTCTTAAATTAAATGCAAAGCAGTAACCAGTGAACATATGTACATGAACATTAAAATCAGGATGATTTTACCTTTTACTGACTTTTTCAATTCCCAAAATATTTATACTGTTACCAAATGTGTAACTAGTTTATACTAAGTGTTTTTTTTTTTTAAGTAAATGTTAGGGTGTTTACCTTCTTAATTAAAAATCATGTAAGTGCCATAATGTCCCACTGGAAGAAATTTAACCCATAAATATTTCAGACACTCTGACTTGTCCTCTTTCCTTTGGTTGACGGCACATTGTCGGATCTTAAAAACACAGAGACCTTTTGTAGCCGTGCCGTATACAAAGCAGCTTGGCTTTTGGGGCTCCCATCTTTCCAGCTGTGCACAGACGCAGATTACTTCCTGGCACTCAGAGGTCTTCCCCAGCATTTCATTTTGAAAAATGGCAAACCTACAGCAAAGTTGCAAGAATTAGTACCTTGAACACACATACCTTTCACCCCTTGGCATGTTTATGAATGACACAGCCTGTCCTGCATTCTGCCCACTCAGGCACAGGCCCACTCCCCTCCTTCCCTCTGTTTTCTCTCTCTCTGAGAGTTAGGTGCATATTATCATGTCACCCTCTCTACGCTGCTAAGCACCTTCTATAAACAAGGACATCTTCCTACATAACCACAGGACAACTGTCACACATTCAGGACGTTTCACAATGAATGATACAACAGCATTATCTTAAATACACAGTCCATATTCAGATTTCCCCATTATCCCATTAATGGCCTTGATAGCTATTTTGTTTTTAATTACTACTTTTCTTTTGTTTTTCTTTGTTTTAATCTCATATCCAACCAAGTAGCATATATTGTAATTAATCGTCACGACTTTTACGTTTCCCTCATTCTCGAGAGGTTCGCTAGTCTTCTAGACCACTGATCATGGTTGTTTGCAGAGTGCCCGTCCATCTGGATTTGTCTGGCTGCCCAGCCCCCTAACTTAGAGGGCACATCTGGCTCTCGGATAGAAGGGAACCTGGGGCTAGGGATAACCATGTAGACATCACTGATACAGAGAGGTGATCTGTCATCTTTAAAAAATATATCCAACAAGTTCCTACTGGTGTTTTGAATACCTTAGAATTTGCCTAGTGAAAAGTTACAAGCTCAAATACTGTCTTTTATCCCCATGTTTTTTATTATGATTGTTATCTAAGATTTTTTTTTGTGATAGCTGCTTGGCATGTTTCCCAAAATTTAAACCACAGAAATTATCAAAATTAATAGTAACTAATATATTAGAGTGTACTTGATAGTGGAAGGAAAGCTAAAACTTAGGAGCATCTCAGAGGAAGGAAGCACAAGAGTGAGAAGAATTTATCTCTTAGACCTGGCTCCCTCATGTAGAAACTCTGGCAGAATGCTTTACTTCTCTAAGCCTCAGTTAGCTACCCAGCTGTGAAATGAAAAGGTTGAAATGAGTAAGTGGTTCTCTGTCCTTTAAAACAACACTTGCTTTTGTCCCAGGGACCTTGCTATTCTGAAAGATTTTGCCTCTTAACTAAGCAGTATATATTAATTTAATCAGTTTGTTGGGTTTTCTTTCATCCAAAACCTGTATCATGCTAATCATTTCAA